ATATAAGTTACTAACTTCCCATAGTTAACATTGATGAAGAACGATTACAACCATAACAAACTAAAGTATTTTACACTTATCAACCAAGTTGATACCAACAGATTCATATCACTTTCTTGGTCTTTCATCTCTCTTGCTATCACTCAAACTAGGTTTCTGCACCTACCACACCACCCACAACATTTTGAACAAGCAAGCGAAGCTCGCGTATTAGACAGAAAGAAATCTTGGTTTTGTTAAATCACCCATCTATCATGTCCGAGTCCAAAAACAAGGTTCGCGTTGGTGTTGGAGTTTTCATCCTGCACCCCTCTTCTACCCCTTCAAACCCTCTATTCCTGATGGGCAAACGGCTTGTTCCCCATGGCCACGACCAATGGGCGAATCCAGGTGGACACCTCGAGTTCGGTGAAACATTCGAAGAATGTGCTGTCCGGGAAGTGCTTGAGGAAACAGGACTCGTACTTCAAAAGGAGAAGATGAAATTTCTCACCGCGACGAATAGTCTTATGGAAGCGGGACCCAGGAGAGATGGGAAGGAAGGGCTGGAGGGGAAGCACTACGTGGCTATTTGGATGGTGGGGACTTGGGATGGAAAGGGAGCGGGCCCGAGAAATCTGGAGGGGGAGAAGAATGGTGAGTGGGAGTGGGTGGGGCTGGAGGAGACTAGGAGATGGGCGGGAGTAGAAGGCATGCTTTTCCAGCCGGTGCTAGATTTGTTGAGGGAGAGAGGCGAGGTCCTCGAGAGTCTTGTATAGGTGGCTCGATTTCCAGACTGGGTGGTGCATTTGGATTTGGAGTTTGGGTCTTTTATCGGAGTTGCTGGGAATTGAGGTGATAGAGCGATTTGGTATGGGAGATGTGCAGAACGTAGACCATGCTGTATAGATTTGGAAAGACGAGTGCATAATTTTTGGATTACTATTACATTATGAATAGAAAATGTACCCTCATTTAAACTTGCGATCATGATTATCATCGAGAGAAGGTCAAGTGTTCTTCAAAGCATCACGTCACAAATTATGGACTGAGGCGCGAAAGACTGACTCTTTCGATGGAAAACAGCAATAGAAACCATGTAAGATAGAAACTCGCACGCGCCTAGATTTTGAAGCCTTGCAATATTATGTGGTGAGCCAGGCCCAGCTACTCCGGGTAAAACGCAAACAAGAGTCTCAAGCCCGATTGATACAGTAATAGCCAAAAATATGCAGTTGTTGCAAGCATCCACCAGGTTACCAACAAACCACTTTAGGCTTTTTTTTTGAAGGCGGACTATGCAACCATATCTCCCACTACTCAACTGCTTATCAATAAAACCTAGCTGTTATTCCTGAGCTAGTGGACATAAGAACTAGTCTCCAATATCCAGGAACCTTGAAAGCGTTTCGATTATAACGCTCACTACATTTGTCGGTATTTAAGAGTATGGCCAATGACAAGGGCTGTAATGCGGAGGAGAACCTCGTATTCGGAGTCGTGTTTCGATAGTAGAACTTAAAGCGACAAAGGTATCATTATCCTGGTTGTTCCAACTTTTCGTTACCAAATGGACGAAAATATATTGGTATTCGGGGCCCAAATCAATTGTAGGAAGTCGAATGAGGGGTCCAAATTCTGTCGGGTCACCATAGAGCATGTGATTCGTGGAGAGAGTATGAGAGCGGGTAAAAAATACCACCCTGGAAATACTAAGGTTACGCGGTAAATTTGTAGGGAACATCGAAAAAACAAGCAAAATATGAGGGCCTTAATTACTTTTGTAAAGCAATGTGCATGGCATACTCACAAGATTGGCCAGTCGATAATAGATTGAGCAGATACGCAAGCTCTCTAGAAGTCTAAAGATGCCACGCTATCTTGCACAATTGAAAACATGACTATCAGTACAAATCTAGAGGCAAGTTGAAGTGCAACTAACTGTACAATCTATTGGAGCAGAATTGTATGTATTTGATACAACGCATACGATACCTGCATGAAGCACGCGGGGATATTCCTTCTTTAGAGAAAGACTGCATATCCAGCCGCGACCTGCAGCTCTTGTAAATGAAGCCGATGTCGCACTTTCAGCACTTTCGTCTGCAGTTATAGAAATATCTAGTAAATCACAAGTCGTCCTTACATCATCGTGATTAGAGGGCCAATCAATCAACTGTTCAGCACACCTTCACTTGTACTTGCTCGCTGCTGTGGTTGCTATGAAAGTTCCCGTCTATCTCTGATTGGCTGTAAGCTACTTCATTCCAGCAGAATGAACTTCTGAGAACCTCCGGCGCTTGATAGTCGCTCGCAACTCGCTAATAAGGGCTAATCAAGATGCCAATATGCACAATGAAGTAGCAATGACACCTTCTGTATTTGAATCGCCTCGCCGCACTTATGTAAGCCACCGGTTGGACACCCGAGATTTGCTTTTTTTTTTTACATAGAGTAAACCCCAGATAAAAGTCCATCTTCTTGAATCATGTCATACCAAAGAGAAACTTCGTCGGTTTGTTATTACAATCTACAGCAGGGCAACGCTCTAGAAACCGAAGATAAGGACCAATGTTGGAAGGAAATGACATGAGTTCTATATTGATGCCGGAACTTAGAGCTCACAAAAGTTAGTCGACAGTTTGATAATATCCTTGATGCCGACAGTAATCGCTTACCAACAGGTTGGGACGAGTTAGTCGTACCTATTGCAGTTATCTGCCCGTTATGAGCTTTCAAGGACAAGCTCCGGCTAGAAAACATATTGAATTGGCGTGTTGGTGGCGTTTATTGAAGTTGGAAATTACGGCGTGATTTCATTGAAATTGGGTTCTTCTTCAGTCCAATAACTGCATAGATCCAGGAAGCATTGCGGCACAGCTCTGGGCAATTTTAACTTCACTCACCTCGGAAGTTTCCAAGAACGAGATTCTGGGAATCCATAAGGTTAACCTATTTGGAGGCTTTGCAACTAACGATGGGTGCCAAAGGGCGTGAAATCATATAACTCGGGCGAGCAAGCGCTGAGGAAAGTGATTGATCACCCGTAATCCAGTGATCATGCTGCAAGCACTGATATAGCCACGAAAGTCTCACTGCTATCAATGAATTTTGAGCAGAAAAATAGGTTGTGGCTTTATTTGATCTCCGGGTATCGATAACTCATACCTATCCAGCCTGTGCCACGGTCATGAAAACATTTGCAAATCCGTGCCTTCAATACTATAGCTTCGTATATGATTGAGCGGCATCAAACGCTTGAACTCCCAATATTCCATATCTCCGGAACGAAGGAAAACAATTTCGTGAATATCCTTGTGTCTGATGATGCTGGCCTCCTCTTTCATGGATTGTCAAGTGCTTTCAGGATCTAGAACTGAAGTTTGGTGTCTGTTCCTTGCAATTGCATCTCAGTCAGATGTCATTCCAATTTGACATTGATGTCAAAGCTTCAGGATTCTGTCGTTGTCAGCAAATTCGCGGTAGTTGACCGGATTTGGACTACCTAAGTATTCATAGTCATGTTAATTTCAATCGTCTGGGGAAGGATTTATGTCGGTCGTTTCATGATAACTTTTATCATTATGCACCTTCCATATTCAGTACTTATTCGAAATTTGTTTGATGTCCTGTTTGTCTTGGTTATTTGATCCAATACCACCCAAGGCTCACGTAAATATAATAAAATCCCTTCTGCTTGGAAATCTGACCACGTCATCACGATAATTTGAATTTGGTGTCACGTTATTCGGGCGGAGTGGCTAAATTTAGATAGCGTAAACTTTCGGAGGATTGATGGCCCCACAGGTTCTATGCATGTCATGAGATTTAGTGAAATTAGTTCCATCCCCGGACGCACTAAATCTATCGTGCGAATGTCAAGAAGACGCAACATACTTCGTCCGGTGTTGTAAGATCTTACAATGGATTTCAAACCGACAACTTTAGTTCTAAAGTGTGATGAATTCTACCTAAACGATCGAAATAGGAAATACATAGTTGATTTTGTTAATTATCTCGCTAGATCTTGTGCTTAGGTTCTCGATCTTGGGGATTTAGCCTTTAAGAATTTCAAGACTGTCGGTTCATGGACTCCCCCTACGTACGTCCCCCCAGCATTTTTTCACACTGATATCACTACCTGTTATGCCAATTAAAAGTATGTACGATTCTCGCAAAAGAAGATATAAGTTACGCAAATACGCAGGAATAGATGAGATAGAGATTCAAACTTACTCGTTGATGTCTAAAACTAGAGGTTATATCGCTTTTTAGTGACTACGAATTGAGTAGTCTTGTGTTATCGATATTAAAGGGGTGGATAGCCAGAAACAATTTAGAGACCTACCTAAAAGAGCTAGATTCTTAGATATGGACATCAAACACGCTCAACAAATTCAGATCGTCAGTTAGTTGAGACCTAGACTTTAACTATCAAAGTATCGCTCTAGTTCAATGAAGATCCAACATTCTTTATGCCAACATAGAAAGATTTAATGCTTCGAGGTTCAAGACAATCGATGTAGTGAAAACTTATGATAAATTGGCATCATGAAACTTGACGTGAAAAAAACTTTCTTAGGAATTCGGAAATCTTCTTAGGGCTTGGTACTACCATTGTATCCAAAACAGTGAATATTGTCTTGAAAACTTACGTTACGCTCAGTACGAAAGAATACTGACCATTAAACATAAATCCTAGATGATTTTGTTTCATACTCTTACACTCCTTGCGGTGCTACGTTGAGTAAAGGAAGAATGTCAATCCTTCGCTGAAGAAAGCCTCAATCCCAAAGCAACGTCAAGAAACGAGTTTGAACACTAGAATAGAAGAAACGACAAAAGGAAAAACATATATAAACCCATTAGATATCTTCGGAGACAAACTATTCTCATCATCGTATCACCATCAACCTTTAAGTACATACTTCCCAGAACAAACTCACAGCACACGGCTCCTCGTTGTCTTCACACTTTCATTAAACACATTTTTTTAAAACAAAACATCTTCCTCGGTCAAAATGAAGTTCACAATCACTGCTATCGCCGCCATCATGGCATTCGCTCCCCTCATCTCCGCTGCTCCAGCTCCAGTATCGGCAAACGAGCCCGAGCTCGTCCGACGCTCAAACACAGGTGACTTGACCTACTATGATGTAGGTCTTGGTGCCTGTGGAGTCACCAATTCTGACTCCGAATTGGTCGTTGCTATGTCAGCAGGACTTATGGGAACCCAGTCCAACGGTAACCCCAACTGCGGAAAAAAGATCAAGATCAACTATGGCGGAAAGTCAGTCACTGTTAAGGTTGTTGATAAGTGCATGGGCTGCGCTACATACGACTTAGATTTGAGCCCTGCCGCTTTCAAGGCTCTTGCTCCAGAGTCTGCTGGACGCATCAAGGGAACCTGGTCTTTCGTTTAGATTGACAGACATTCGGAAATCGGCAGAGCTGGTCAAGAGATTGATTTGCTGTAGAATTTATCCCTCCTGCTGCATGGCCAGTGGTGGATTGGTGGTGTCCATACGTGGAGGGTGAAAGTTGTGGTAACCTTAGATCGTTTTATTTTCGTTGGATTTTTGAGAGCTTTTGCGTTCTGGGGTTCGAATATTGGGAGAACAAATTGTCATCTGATGTTGTATCTATAAAATTACGGGGGAAAAAACAATATTTTGTAGAAGTAAATTGAATTTGCCCTGCGGTATGACATCAAGGGTCTGATTCCATTCATTTCGCGATGGTGACTTTGAAATTTTTTATTGTGGCGTGACTGTCTATGCTCTAGCGATGCATAAGAAATCCAAACAGGTAACTTCAATGGCACAGCGATGTCTATCCCCTAAACTGCCAACTAGCGGCGCCGTCGCTTAGCAGGGATCTTGTCGACCAATCAGATTATCAGGATTTTAAGTTTGCTTATAATATTTAGACTATATTCTATAATAGTTATTAAAATACCTATTATTATTATATAAATGAATATTATATTCTTAATATTCCTATATATTCTTATATTTATTACCTTTTAATCTAAAATTATTTGATGTTTTCCTTAATATAGCTCTTTTTATATCAAAAAGAGTTCCCTATATATACTACAACCCTTTTTATTTCTCAATCTTATAAATAATGATTTATAGAAAGGTTAGAATCTTCAATTGAAATCTATAAAAACTCAAAAGCATCTTTAAAATAGTATCTAAACCCGAATTCGGTAATTAATCTATTACCAAAAGCTTTCCAAAAAAATATTATATTTTAAAGATTTGGTTATAAAATACTTTATACAATTTCTTTATAAATCAAATAGCAATTAATTAAAGTAATAATTAAAAATTATTATTCTAAAGCTTAATAGTTTTTACATTATTATTATTGATACTCTAGTATTGAGGTATATAATTAATCCCTTATATCGATAGTATTCATATTATAATTATAATTATTAAAAAAGGTTGAAATAGATAGTTCTTTCTTTATCTCATTTCCGAATACTATTCTAATTGTTTTAGCTTTCGAATAAATAGATTTCAATCTTTTCTGTATTCTATTAACAAGAGTTTTCTTATTATATATTATAGATTGAGCCAAAACTAGTAACGTGGTTTATCAGCATATGGGCCATATCATCATATGGGCCACCTCAAAATACATACAAAATTCGTCTGTGTGTAACCGTGCACCTTCTTTATTTATAAATATAATCTCTCAAAAATTTAATATAACGTGGTTTATCACCGAGTGGGCCATATCACCGAGTGGGCCACTTTCATTTTAATTTGCATTCTTTATATTTAACACATATTTTATTAATCATTTATTATGAAATCTATAAATAAAAAGTATATTTACTTTTAGCTATCGAAGTTCTTTAAAAAGATAAAAAATTAAGTATTCGAAAGGTTGTTAAATTATATAATATATCTTGTACAATGATCAGCTATAGAATAAACGGTTTAACTTCATGTATAGAGATTCAAGTGAATTGTTATAAAATTACAGAATTGAAAAAGAATATAATTATTGAATATATATTTGATATAAATTCAAAAGGATTTCCATCCAATATCAAGAATATAAAAAATATAGCAAATTATATTCTTGAATCAAAGGGTTCGAAATGTATTAGAAAGCTTTAGGCATATCGATTTGTATAATATCGAATCGAATTAAAGATATGTTTTAGTTGTATTTATAATTTCCAAAAAGCTTTTTACAAAATCCTAAATTTATTGAAGATTGGTTTCAAGTAATTATAAATATACAAGCGAAATACAGTATTTTGGATAGCGATTTCTATAATTTCAATAAAACAGGCTTTATAATAGAGATTATATCTATAATAATAGTTATTATTAATACCAAAAGATATAGCAAAAGTAAATCAATATAATCAGATAATCGAGAATGGGCTATAGCAATAATATATGGAAATGGAGAGAGTAAAACTATTCCCCCATTTCTAGTGGTTCAGGGATAAGTTCACCTTTCCAATTGGTATACTGAAATCGATTTTTCTGCGGATTGGGCTATTAAACCTATATCTAATGGATGAACAAATAATAAAATAGGTTTAAAATAATTGAAACACTTTGATAAGTATATTAAGAATTGAAAAAAAAAACAGATATCGAATATTGATATTAGATGGGTATGAAAACCATAGAGCAAAAGCTTTTCAGGTATATTGTAAAGAGAATAATATTATATACTTGAATCTACCACTGCATTCAAGTCATTTAACTCAATTATTTGATATAGACTGTTTTAGGAATCTGAAATGTTTATATGGTGGTCAAATTGATAAGTTTATCAAAGTATATATTAATTATATTTCGAAGGTTGAATTCTTTATAGCTTTTAAAGCTACATACGAAGAATCAATCACCTCTCAGAATATAAAATCAGGATTCAGAGGAACAGATTTAATACCCTTTGATTTTGATACTGTACTTTCGAAATTGGATATTCGAATTTGTACACCTACTTTCCTCTCTTTTGATTTAGATCAATGAATCTCTCAAACCCTTTATAATTCAATTAAAGCTTTTTCTTAATTAATTTTAGTGAAATCTCGAATAACTTGATATCAATCAAGCTCTTCTATACCTATATTCGAGATTATATTAACTTTAGCTAAAGGTATAAAGAGATTAGCTTATAAGAATATACTTTTGAATATAGAGATTTGTACACTTTAAAAGACAAATAAGGCATTAAATAAGTATCAATATACGAAAAAAATCCAATTGTGTTAAGGAGGAGTATTTATTGGATAAGAGGCTTTTGATATATTATCTTAGCAAAAAGTTGATATTCAGATTCAACACAACAAGTGTTAAAAAGAAAGGAATTCTAATAGAGAAACACTTTCTATTCGGTATTGTAGTAAATGCGGAAAGACAGGTTATAATATAAAAACCTATCAAAATAATATAATAGATCCTAGATTATTAGATTCTTAATAGTTTTAATCAATTGATTCAATTGTTATTGAATAATATAGGTTTGAAGATGTGAATTGAGGTGAAAGTGGCCCACTCGGTGATATGGCCCACTCGGTGATAAACCACGTTATGATATTTGATTATAAAAGTATTAAAGATTTCTAATTAGTTTTCGAAAATTCAAATTAATATAAGAGTTATTATTAAAATAGTTTTTTTGTAACGAAATCGTGACAATTCTGACTTTTTCCAAAATCTAATAAGAATATTCATTAAAAAAATTTATTTATAGAAAGCTAATTTCTTATTATTATTTAATGATCTTTTTTTCCCTCAAAATAATGATTAGTTATTTTATAAAGAATATGAAAAAAGCCCTAATTTTGGTGTATTTTCAAATGGCCCACATGATGATATGGCCTACATGCTGATAAACCACGTTATATTATTCTTCTATACTATTGTCACGGGTTCAATACGTAGTTAGGTGGATGCCTTAGGCAACTACCCTCCATATAGTCGGCACCTCCCCGCCTTCTCCTGCACAACCTTGTAGAATATCATATATCTTATCTAGCACCCAGACCGCACCGTGATAACTATATAACATACTTTATTTGAAAGAAATACTATAAAAAAGACTATTCCCTATAATATAGTATTGTTTTTATTATCTTCTTTCTTTTTAGAATCAGCTCTTTATAAATACTAGAATTTGATCAATATATATTTATCACAGTATACTCTGAATGCCATATTTACTTCAAGAAATTAATCGAAATAAATAAATTATCAAAATAAAAATAATATAAAACTTTAAATAACCTCTACACTAAATATAAAACTATTACTTATATCTTATTTATATATTTTTCCCTCTTTTATAATCCTAAAAAAGGGAATACAACTATTCTTATAGAATTATTGACTTTATCAATTTTATATCAATTCCATATTATAAAGAAATCTCAATCTACTTTATTTATATTTTAAATCCTATAAAAATAGATTTATTTTAATAATAATAATAAAGCTTAATCAACTATTATATTGTATTATATATTCATTAACTGAAATTCAATTCTAAAATCTTTATATTGAGAGATTGACTTATTGAATATAATCTGATAATAAATCTATCTAAAAGAAATATATTAATATATAAAATCTAAATTGAATAATGAGCTTTTACTTTTTCAAATACATCTTTCGTTTTAGGAAATTCAATACAATATTATATATAAAATTCTAAATATTGAACTTTTTAATATAAAATAACGTAACGTATGGGGAACTCGGACATATGGGGAACTCGGACAGGTACCTTTACACCAAATTTTGTATGTAAAGGTACTTAGAGCGAATTTTTATATCTCTAGAAATACTAGAGATATAGTTTTGATATTTTGAGGTATGATATATTCAATATAAATATTTAATATGACAAAATATTATAGAGATGTAATTTTTTTTAATAAAGATATTAAAGTTTCTTTCAAATTGTCGTTTTTATCTAACAAAAATTACTATGGGAATTTTTAAAATCGTATTAATTCAAGAGCAATATTATTAAAAAGTGTTTTGTAACTTTAACACTATATTTTTATTAGATATTAAGCCTAATTATCAAAAAAATTAAATTATCTTTAATATCCATAGAGATATAAAAGTCGCTCTAAGTACCTTTACATACAAAATTTGGTGTAAAGGTGTCACGGCGCCAACTATATAATTTGTAGTTGCTTTCGTGCCTTAGATATAGTATACTAGTGTGTTCTATTTTCTATAAATAGGGCTTTATTTTTTTATAGCTCTTTTATTTTTATGGTATAATATAAGTCTTTACTTATATTTTGATAGTTTGTATTATCTTTAAATAAGTTATTATAGCTTTATTTCTTATTTTATTTCCAAAGTTTTATAATGTTTTGTTCCGATTATATTGATTATATTTATTATTGATTTATTGTATATCT